TGACTGGCAGATACGCTTAAAGGGGTACTCCGCCGATTTCTTCATGGTCCCCGATTTGCTTGAAGTTTTGCTAAACTCGCCAAAAAACATCGCCAAAATAGTATCCCAAATATTAGGTCAAAATAATTTTTTTTCACGAAGTTATTGAATTTACAATTTTGGTCTTCACCCTGTTTTTCAAACTGAAAGTCTCTACTGGCAACAATGAAAAAGTGACGTCAGTGGAAGTCCAGGGGTTCACTCTTTGGAGTGTAGAATTTGTTCCCAACTGATTCGAAGCCGTTTCATGGTGTCAAATGAATGCCTTGGAAGCTCGCTCCAGTCCCCGCGCTCCAGCACGGAACAAATGATTGGCATATTCTATTTTTTAGACTGCTCGCCCGACCGGCAAGCTTACCTTTCCCTGACGTCACAGCCCTGAAAAGGGCGGGTATATTTGAATGTTTGTTTTTGCGTCAATTTCATTTCCCGATTTCGCAATAAATATTATGAATTTCACAATACTAAATAACACACCAGAAAGGGTAAAGGCCGGGGAGTCAGAAAATATAGTTAGTTGAGGTAGCTCAAAAATCGGCAGAGTACCCCTTTAAGGTTCGATAAAGGACTCACGGGTATTGGTTTGCGGCCCCGGGCTTTGACCTTTCTCTCGCCTCGGAACACAACATGGTGGCAGCAGTGGGATACTGAACAATACTCCATCGTTTCTCGGGACCTGAGAAGCCGCACCAAACTCTGCAGTTCGACCGAACGGCCAGCAAAGAAGATTCGAGCCACTGCTAGATCTACGCCATGACTAGCAACGCAGACGGTTCGGGGGCTTCAATCTCCCAGGCCAGCGGAGGACCTTCCTTCTTCAACCCCTTTGCGGTCGAGCTACCGGAGAAGCTGGATTTCAGGAATCAGAGTGACTGGAAGCGATGGATCATTCAGTGGGACCGCTACCGGATCATCTCGGGGCTTCATCTCTGTGACGCTTCGACTCGGGTGAAAACCTTCATCTAAGCCAGTGGTCGGCAACCTTTTGGCGAAGCGGGCCAAGTCGCCGCGATGCCTAGGCGGAACGGGCTGGACAGCAAGCAGCGCGGGGGGGGGGGGGGGGGGGGCGTTAAAATAAAAAAAAAGCACTTGCACAGACTTACATAAATCGAAAATGAACAGTTTCTTTATTTCACGACAAACAAGATGAGATACAACATTTCCACGAAAACCTAGAGACTCCTCTCAGTGAGACTTTTGGTGTTGAACTGCGCTCGCCAAACTATGAACATCCACATTCAAGCTGCTAACTGCGAGTCGCAAAACATTGTGGAGGTTCTCGTGAACGGAAGTTGGATTTTATGCACTTCATTCGTGAAAAAGTCTGCTCGCAGACGGGCAGCGAATTAGTCAACTTTATTTATTTTTTTCTTTCTTTAGCTGACTGCGTAGGGGGGAGGGGGGGTTACCGGGAGGCTGAGGGCCGTATGATACTACCTCGCGGGCCGCTGGTTGCCGACCACTGATCTAAGCGATGGGCAGAGGATGCCCTTTCTTCGCTCGAGATGACACAAGAGGAGCTGAACAACTACGACATAGTCAAAGCTAAGTTCGACATGCACTTCATTCCGCGGGTGGACGTCATCTTTGAGAGAGCGAAGTTCAATTCTAGAAAGCAAGAGCTGGACGAGCCTGTGGAGGTCTTTATCACGGCATTGCAGAGATTGGCGGATACATGTGACTACGGCCCTTTACGGGACGAGCTCATATAGGACCGCATTGTCGTCGAACTCCCGGACAGGAAACTAAGCGAGAAACTCCAGCTTGATGCTAAGCTTACGCTGCAGCGCGCGACTACGGCAGCTTGATCATCAGACGGTAAAGCGCCAACAGACTGAGCTACGCAGCACAAAGACAGACGGCGACGTTCTTGAAGAACTCAGAAGACAGCCGAAAACAAAAAGCGAGAACAAGGACTTTCGACATCTGAGCATGTTGCTTTTCCAAGCCCTGTCTAATAATTCGCCATGGACGTGCCGATGGTGTGGCAGTTCACAGAAACACGCCAAGTCTTAATGTGCCGCAAAAGACAAGAAGTGCAACGCCTGCAAAAAGCTAGGCCACTTTGAGAGCGTCTGTTTTTCCAAACACACTCGAGAAAATTTCACCATACAAGAGCACAGACAAGGACTGAATGAAGTCTTCCTCGGCGAGTTGGTACACTCAAGCAACGGGCAATGTACCAGGGGAAGCCTGGTACATTACAGCCAAAGTAAACAACCAAGACATCACATTCAAGGTGGACACGGGGGCGGACGTCACAGCTAACCCTCCCAATATGTGCGACGCGACAACGTTTGCAACTTTGCAGACAACAGGGACGGATCTTTATGGAGCAGGCCGGTAACCTGGAATGGGCGCACTACTAGAGAAATCATCTATGTGTCCGACCAGCTAAAACACCCACTGCTGGGGCGGCCTGCAATTGAAGCCCTTCAGGTGCTACCTAGCTTGAACGAAGTCAAAGCCGAAAGCAAGGCGGAGTATGACCCCCTCCGTAAAAAGTACCCCTTGCTTTTCCAAGGACTGGGGAAAATGATTGTGGAGTACAAGATCGCGCTTCACCCTGATGCGAGACCATTCGCAATCACATACCCGAGACGGGTACCTCTACCTCTGCTACCCAGCACTCAACAGGAATTGCAACGGATGCAAGACATGGATGTTATTGAAAGAGCCGACCATGCCACAGCATGGTGCGCACCCATGGTGGTGGCTAAAAAGCAAGACAGTTCTCTTCGCATCTGCGTGGACTATACACAGCTAAACCCGCAACTGGTGCCGGAGCGGATCATCAAGCCAACCGTAGAGGAGAGCTTGGCAAGACTCGCCGGGGCGACGGTATTCAGCAAACTAGATGCCAATGCCGACTACTGGCAAGCACCACTAGCCCCAGAGTCAAAGGAACTGACAACTTTTATCACACCAGTGGGACGGTTTCAATTGAAAAGACTTCCGTTTGGCATTGCAACAGCGCACGAAGCCTTTCAGCGGGAGATGCTAAGGATCCTAGAGGGAATCCCAGGACAAGTATGTCATATGGATGACATCTTAGTTTTCAGCCGTGACAAAAGGGAACACAACATAAATCTTGAGTTGATACTCCGCCGCCTCCACGACTCCGGAGTGACCCTGAACACCTCAAAGTGTGAGTTCTCCAGAAAGAGCATCACGTTTCTGGGCCACCTTCTGGACAGCAGGGGCATTGCGGCACACCCCAAGAAAACGGAAGCGATCATCCAGATGTCGGCACCTGGAAGCTTGGCAGACCTGCGATCATTCTTGGGGATGGTCAACCACCTTGGGAAATTTCTTCCCGACATAGCCGAGAAAACTAAGCCACTTCGAGATCTGCTACACAAGGATGCTAGCTGGCTCTGGAGCCAGCCTCAGGAAGAAGCATTCCTTAACATCAAAGGTCTCCTATGCAAAACTCCTGTGCTCACACTCTATAAACCGGATGCACAACTTACATTGTCGGCGGATGCGTCTTCGTTTGCACCGGGGGCGGTTCTGCTCCAAGAGGAAAACGGCAAAAAACGCCCAGTGGTATACGCATCGAGAGCCACGACACAAATGGAGCAGAGATACGCCCAACTTGAAAAGGAGGCTTTGGCCATCGTATGGGCCTGTGAACATTTCTGGACCTACTTGGTAGGAAAGGGATTCCACATTGAAACCACAAGCCTCTGGTGCCACTGTTCACAACGAAACGTCTTGACGAAATGACACCAAGGCTACAGCGTCTGAGGATGCGCATCTTTGAGTATGGCTTTGCGATATCCCACGTACCAGGCAAAGAGGTGTTCACCGCGGATGTCTTCTCCAGGAAACCCCTACCGACCACACGCCGGTCTACAGACTCAGGGCACACCGTGAAGATCAGTGAAACGTTGGTTCACGAGTATGAAATGCTAACAGTGGAGCTCCTTCCAGCCTCCACCTCATTTTTGTCCAGACTGAAGGCACAGCTTTCCAAAGACCCAACCACATCAAAGGTTATGGAATACTGCGAAAAACAATGGCCGGCAAGGAACAAACTTCCTCCGAACTTAAGCAAATTCGCGAGTCTCGCTGCAGACCTTTCGGTTGTGCAGGGATTACTAATGCGTAATGACCGGCTGGTGATCCCGCCTAGTCTGTAAGGAGAAGTCTTGGAGCGATTGCACAGCGGCCATCAGGGTGTTGTCCGATGCCGGGCAAGAGCCAGAGACTCCGTCTGGTGACTTGGCTTAAGGCAAGACACTGGTTCTAAAATAGACTTTTTTGTTTATTAATGGATTATAATGAAAATCAGTGTGTATTTATGTTTTGGCTTCCTCTTTTCAAATATTCAATTAGTTCTGCAATATCTCAATTACTTTTTGAGTTACGAAGAAAATAATGAAGCCTAATTAGGTCATTTCTTACGACTCATTAAGGAACTTTCTAATACAAATTTTTTTGCATAAGTGATATGGATTTGTAGCTAAAGACCTGCCATGCAAGATGATGCTAATCATATTTTTGTAAAGATAGATTATTGTATAAAACTAGTCTAATTAGGTCAAGTACACTATTTACAAAGCCTAACGAGGTCACATTATCACTAATAATAAAATTTCGGGCCCATACTGTCATACAAAAATAGCATCACCCTGCAGTTCACTTCTTTCTGAATCCAACGGTATAACGTTTATAGAAATCCTTGAAAAATAATCTCATGAAAATAACCGTAAGGCTAGGCATGTAGACAAAAAATGCGAAGCTGAGAAAATTGCAGTTGAAGTTTTGACGCTCATTGCATAAAATTGAGTAAGGGATCCCATGCAATAATGTTCAGCTATATGAAGCATAGTTCTATCTGAACAAATTGAGATGAAAAGTTCTGCGATTCGTTCACAAGAACCTTTAAAAAATAATATAAAACTGAGAAATAATGTCTGCAATGTAAAATAAAGTTATAAAAGAATGAGTAGACTCTATAAGGGACAACGGGAGGAGGCACTAAGGGTTGCGCGTTCCAAAAGCAGATTTTGTTTGGCCCTGAAAAGGGCCTTTGTTCATGTAGCACTCGAAAGGGGAGCCCCCTCACAGCTGTCCAGGACTGTAGTCCCCAGCCGTTCCAGTCCGGTGTTGCCTGGAGAACCTCTGTTTTGCATTGCTGCTGCTCTGGTGGGCAGCGTTGGCCTTACGCAAACGCAGATTGTCCTTCTCCATGCTGCGGCGTACGAGGCAGTCACCGGCAGCGTAGCCCAGGCTCGCAGCAACAGACTCGCTCATTGCCCGCCTGCCCTGATTGTAGACGGCAACAGCTTCGGCAGCAGCCATCTTGACGCTGTCCAGGGAGGCATTGGCGTTCTTCGAGGTTTGCGTCCAGATGACCGAATGCAGGCTCTCGCTGGCATTTTGCGTCTTGCCTTCGCTGCACCGTGCCAGCAGGTTTTCATCACTGAGCCTTGCAAACACTGGCTCGAGGGCGGACCGCACACAATCTGGAAGAGGGTTCTTGTGCGCAGGTGGACACTCACCATTTGCCAGGGCTCTGTTGAATTTGCACCACGACTCAGCTCCGTCGGGGAACTTGCTGTGGTCTGGGGCACTGTCTGTAGACGTCATGTGCAAGAGGGTGGCTTCCACTGCCCTCTTCATCCCTGGCACATCGTTACTGTTGCTCCTAAGGGCATAGCTGTAGTAGTTTTGAATCTTCTTGATTCGGTCCTGCGTCAGTCTGCCCTTTCCGCCGAGTGCTTCACCCTGGGCCTTCTTTTTCTCAAGGAGGTTACGCAACGCAGCCCCCATCCGCTTGTGCACATGATTGATGCAGTCCTTTTTCTCGACCTTGACGAAGCCGTAGACTTTTGCCTCGGTCAACGCATGAAAGGTTCGGCTATCTCCATCCGAGAGAACTGTGGTGTACCTCAGTCCGTGCTTGGCCAGGGATCTTTGAAACATGGTCAATGCAGCCTCCACTTCCATCCGACCTGACTTGCAATCTATGTTCCTCTGGCACTCGTGGGCTGCATACCAGTCGCCGTACCCCTCTTCCTCCGGCTCCGGTCCCAGGGCACACCCAAGGCAAAAGTTGGAGTACACCACATGGTCAAGAACTAGGCCGGAATACAGCTCGACAATGCAGCCCACACCAATGTGGGAGCTGCGTCCTCTCGTCATCCAAGATCTGTCAAAGATCACGTCGATGTTGCCGACAGGGTTCAAGAAGTCTGCATACAGTCTCTTGACAACTTCTGAGCTGGCAGCTTCACTTGCGCTTGCTGACTTTTCGCAGGCTTGCACATGGGTCTTCAGGTGTCCCTGGAAGGTCTTGTGATGCAGGCCGCGGTGTGACAAGTTCATGGACGCACAGAAGTCTGCGAGGGCAGTGACTCCTTTCCCAATTGACTGAATTCCCTTCATTGCCCTCATGTTCACTTCGAAAGGAGTGATCTTCACCGTTCCGGCAACTCTTGGTGAAGAAAACTGCTTCTTCTCGAACTCGCATGTGGCACAGACGAGCAGAAGCTTGACTGCCAAGCCATACTCTTTGTCCGTGGCCTTGCTAAGTGTCAGGGTTCCCGCACCGCAGCTTTCGCACTTGCTGCGGAAGCAGCAAGTGCGGAACATGAAACATGCGGAACATGAAACATGCGGAACATGAAAGCTCTCAACGACCTCTTCGCCTGCGCGAAGAGGTCGTTGAGAGCTTTCATGTCCACTACAATGAACTGTGTCCCAGCGTCGCGCGTCTGGCCTCCTGTGGTGACGCCGAGAAGGTCGAATTTGCGCTGGGTCGCCGACTTTTCCGATAGCGCACGCTTGCATTCGTCCGATCGTGCGACTCGTTGCGCTTGCTCGGCCGTGGAGTAGTATGCGGTGTCGACACGAACCGCGCTCGCAAAGCTCGACAAACTGCCGCTGCTGCATGGAGTCGCGATGTCTCCGGCTGATGTTTCCGGAGGATCCAAGGCATCCGGCGGTGCCGATCGCGGTGGCGCACTTGCAGCAGACAGCTTCGGCTTCTTGTTCCACGGTCGCTTACTCTTCCTTCCGAACGCTTGCCGCGTGCTCGATTTCAACCGAGCGTCGTCCGGCATCTCGGGAACTCGAAGCGAACCAAAACAAAACACGCGCGACTTCGTAGGAAAGCGAACCAACAATGTTCAACGCAAGCGCGCAAACGGGAACTAAAACGTGCGCTCGATGACGGAAGAAACAAAGCAGACAGGCCTAGACGGGCGGAGACGGGCCCAGGAGCAAACGACGCACCTCTCGCCAGCGCGGGAACGGAAAGGAGGAAAGGAGAAAAAGAGTGGGGGGGGCGCTTTTAGGCCAATAGCAGGGGCGCTAAGCGCCGCGCGTGCTCTGACGTACGGGCACCTTGCTAGCCGGCCAATGAGCGATCGCAATTGGGGCCCTCGAAACCCGCGGAATGCGGACGTTTCCCGATGTTGTCGCGATAACGAATGGCATGGGGACGTGGGGAAAATAAGCGGCTTTCCAACAAGACCAAGATGGCCGCGATCCGACGAGCGATCGCGAAACGCGCGGGGCGCGAAGTTCCACTTGTTTTCATTGAACTCGCTGTGTTAGGGCTCTGCGGGGACATCGTAAATATCATTTTTTTCATGCTTAGACATTGAATTCGACATTGAAACTTTGCAGGCAGGTACCTTAGACCAGGCAGGTACCTTAGACTACAATTAATCCAAATATGTGAATTTTGAAAAACGTGAAATTTCGCGTTTTTTTACCATTTTAAGACCCGTGTCTCCCCTTAAGTCGCCGTCCTACCTGTCAGCAATATAGACGATCACATACAGAACCCCTTCTTCAGACTCCACTACCCGATCGTCCCTGGCAGGAAATTGGAACGGACCTTTTCCAGTTCAGGGAGAAGAAGTATATAGTCATCGTCGACTACTACTCGAAGTTCTTCAAACTTGAAGAAATACCTCGAACAACCACAGAAGACATTATCAAGGTTTTCAGCCAGAACTTCGCTAGACACAGTTGCCCAGAAGTCATCCGCTCCGACAACGGTCCCCAGTTTGGCTCAAGCAAGTTCCGGTGATTCGCCAGAGAGTGGGGAGTCGAACTGGTTACTTCAAGCCCGTATTATCCCCAGAGTAACGGAGAAGCGGAGAGAGCGGTGCAGACTGCGAAGAAAACCTCCAATTCAGCACAAGCTCTTCTGGCCCACCGAACCATCCCTGGGCCCAAAGGGTTTTCCCCTGCCAAGCTTTTGATGGGGCAGAAGTTACGCTCCACTCTTCCAACGGCGCCCAGTACCTCTCTGGCAACACTCCAGGAGGTATCGGCAATGATACAGGAAACGGAAGACAAGAGAGGCGTCTAGCTATAATAGGTGCCACCGTACAAGAAATGGCAGGGAGCTACACTCACACGCAGCAGTGTGGATTCACGCGGGAGCGGCCGGACCACCTTGGTCTTACCTTGTAGAAACCGACCAAGGAACGATACGACGCACACGGCACCATCTCCAGCCCGCGATTCCCGACAGCGACAGCCAGCCGGCCGGTTAACGGGAGAACGATCCTCAAGCAACCATAACACGAAGTGGGAGAATTTCACGACCACCAGAACGCTATGGACAATGAGGCTGAAAGGGGGAGGCGTCGTATAAAGAAGGCAAAGTCTGGTGGCATGTGAGACGGTGAGCTGGCTGGGCCACGCGTGAGGGTCCGAGATGCGCGTGACTGGCAGATACGCTTAAGGTTCGATAAAGGACTCACGGGTATTGGTTTGCGGCTCCGGGCTTTGACCTTCCTCTCGCATCGGAACACGACAATTACCTTCTCGCATGTTTCACAGTAATCTGTGGAATGGATTTACCACACTCTTTTTGTGACGTGTACCAGTAGGTGTGCACTGTCATGAGAAAAAAATACAATTAATTTAATTACGACAGGGAGCCACGAGAGGGGAAGATGGCAAGTCTCGATCCACCAAAAAGGACAGGGCATAAGAGTGAAGTCTTGCAAGGCTTGGTCCATGATTCAGGACGGTTTGAAACCTATGATGAATGAAGAGAACAAAGGAGTCCATCAGGTCAACAGGAACAATATCTGACCTAAACATGCAGGGAAATGAAGAGCAGGGGCGAATTTATAGGTTAGGCTGGGTGGGGTGGAGAGGGGAGAAGGGGGAGTTTGCAAGGAGATACTTATTTCACGGGCAAAATGCAGCCCAGATGTGTTTTGTTGACCTAATATTTGTTATGTCACCAAAAACTAATAATTTCATCATAAGAAAAGCTGGGGTATGTTGATTTTTCATTAAGAAAAAGTTAACCTGAAAAAAAAAAACTCCTCCTCCTTTAAAAAAAAAACAAATCTGCTAATGATGCAGAGCATCTGAGTATGCACCAAAACACTGAGGGAGAGGGGGAGACGAGAATGTGTGTGGACGTCAGAACACAGAGCTCTGGTTGGAATGACTAGTGGGTAGACCTAAAGGTAGTATACGGCTAGCAGTTCAAGAGGAGAAAAAGAAAGAACTCCCCTCTTGCTCACAGTGCTTGGACCCTTATTTTTGTACTCGCACATCACCATTCTTCCCTTTGAAAATTAGCCCCTTGATGCTCTTCGCTCAACATTCGGACGAAATTTGCCAATCCCCCTCCACTCCGGCCTGTGGCTTCTACAGTACTACGCACAAATATCCTCCGTGCACCCCTAAACTGACAGTGCTGTGGAAACTATGTGCTCCTTGGGCCAGTCGTGCTTGAGAATCTTTTGCCACATGATCACGCTCCCCCGCTTATAGCCACATTCGCAGAATGGGGCCAGGTGATGGACGGGGGCGGGCGAGGTTTGTCAACTAACGTCCCAACTTTTCACCCCCGCACGGATTGCGACATATCTCGCGGTAGCCGACGTTTGTTTTGAACCTATCTTTATCCGCTGATGTAATTCAATGTCTGTCTAGAAACAAAATGACTAAAAACTTGCAAATGAAGCACAGGTTGTCGATTGCTAGCTTCACAGAATGAATAGCACAGCTCGCATCCGATTGTGTTGCCCGTGGGACGTGCTCTCTTTTTTTAGAGCGCAGCTCTTAGGCGCCCGTTTCCGGCTTGAGCAGCGTCGCCGTCGGCGTAACCGCGCGGTGCATTATGGGTAAATTTCCCCGCTAAATTTAGCGGAAAAATTTCCCCGCTAAATGGATCGGGAAATTTTCCCCTTTAAATCTAGTGGAAAATTTTCCCCGTTACATTTAGCGGAAAATTTTCCCCGCTAAACCTAGTGGAACATTTTCCCTTGTAAATCTAGCAGAAAAATTTCTTTGCCCCCCCCCCCCCTCGAGGTCATGTGACCCCCAGGCCACGTGACCCCCCCTCGGGGTCACGTGACTTCCCCCCCTCTTGCCTTCCCCTTTTCCTCAAGAGCTGCGCTCTAATTCGGCGTTACAGGGAGTTGTAAACGACTTTCACTTTTTTTAGGTTCTCCCGTCTCTTCTGGCGGAAAAATCCCAGTTGTCTGCTCTCGTTCCTCTCCTTAGTGCTGCATGACGGGAGTGCATTGTGGTGCACACTTGACTCTCAAGGTGCAGCGAGTGCATGGACGCGTGGAGTGGCAACGCCGAAATGAACTCGTGAAGTACACTGGGCACAAGCACTGATCACAAGCATGTGGCTTCGTCTTGCATCTTGTTCGCGTGCAGAAGTTGCTTCAACAGTATTGCAGAAATTACACTAGCCCTGACAATGAAGTACAAAAATGTTTGTGTTGAGTCTAGACACTGCTGCAAGATTGCCAAGCCAGGAAACCTAAACCGAGACACCACTAAATGTGTTCCGTTTCAAAATGGCCTAATTGGCAAGACTGAACTTCCACCAAATGTGTTCCGTTGTACAGCACCAAAGTACATCACCAGACATGAGTGTCCAAAATATATACTTACAATGGCTAGCGACGCCTCATAAAAGTCATGCGATGACTCTCTGCTTGGCCAGTTAAGCCACACGCAGTGCCGAGTAGGGTACAGTACGGTATCCATGAGCCGGCCGGTGCGTCGACCCAGGGTCCCGCCCAAAGTGTTCCGCTGCTGCCTTGGACAAGGTGAAAGCCAGCTCATTGATGTCATGGTCCTCAGGACCTGTAGTGTGTAAGCATTCTGTTTAAGTTTTACAGTCACCGACCAATATTTCGCAACATGAAGGGGTCGCGCAAAGCTCAGAATAATCGAGCAGTCCAGAAAAATGAATTTAGCCTAAAAATCACTTTATTGCAATTTTAAGCGCAAAGTTGCTACAGAAAGTGATTGATACAATAGGCTCACAATAATTGAAGCTTGGATATTTTGTACTTCCGGATAATTCAAACAGATTTGAAAACTTTGGTAGTGCCGCTATGTTTTTAATGTATTTATAAGCCGCTTAATCCGAATGGTGTTTACGCTTAATTCATATCTTTTTTTGTTCTCGTGGCCCCGTTGAGTGCGCTTCTTTCCGAGCACCGGTGCACCGCAGAGAAGCAATGCCTGCGGAGCGTGCTTTCACGAGTGTTGTTTCTCCGCAGTGCACCAGTGCTCATAAAGAAGCACACTCAACGGGGCTCAAGCGGGCACACATTAGCGGAAAACAGCGTTCACATTATGTGCTTCAAGACTTGCAATGATGACCAAGACGACATCGAGGATGAGGACCAGGTCACTGGCATCATGCTTTCTGGCCTTGAAGCACATAATGTAAACGCCGAGCAGGCGGAATATGCTAGTCTTGACGATGATGTATTTGTTTGTCGTGATGACTCATTAGAGGACGTAGTAGAGGAAGTAACGCCAG